TCTGATGTGGTATTATTTAATCGTTAATAAACTCCACTTCAACAACTCACCCTTCCAAACACCTCCTAACATCACGTAAACAATTGACAACACGTTCATTAACATTTGAGAGGATTAAATCTTGATGGTCGTCAGAGAATCACTCCCAAATCCTAACTCTAACCCCAAATCTTCATTCTTTCTCTTAGAGATGCTTAATTCATCAAGACATCCCCAAATTGTGGAAGGAGTATCATGTCTTTGTGGAGAAGTTCCTACTGTGAAAAATCATAGGCAAAATAATTTGGCGGGTGTTTAATGGATGCAGATTCATGGGCATAAAAAATTATAAGTTTGGATTTTGGGCTGTTTTTGTAAATGTTCTTATTCAATTTTGGTGGTTCAAAAAGTGAAGAGGGTATATCCATTGAGATGGGAAATAACCAGAATGATTTGTCTATGTATTGTTTGTCAAAATGCCTCTTAGAGCATTTGTTGTATGTTGGCCTATGTTTTATGGTCCAGTAGTTTGTATTAGGTATTTTGTGTCATTTTTATTTTTATTATCTATGTAAATCTACTTTGCTATATTTTTCTCTATAATACAGAAGCATTCCTCGGCTATGAGTTACATAAATGTAAAAATGAAGATTTCTAAATAAAAATAAAATATAACTATAGAGGCAACTAAATAGCAATGCTTCCATTACCACAACAATTCTAAGAAAATGCACATATTTCCATGAGTAGAAATATGGAACCATAGTTTAGAATCCAAGAATTTGCAAGTACAGACAATAAAAAACACATCAAGCAAAAGCTTCAATGAATTGGTCCATTGCCAATCAACAGGAATGTTGTTGCTTGCCAATCCTCTTAGTGCATTGCAAAAAGAAGTTGAATTTTGTTTTCACTTGGTTATGGTTGGGTGTCCAGCAAACGAAACAAAACCTCTCACAATTCTTCTGTTTGTAGATATTGCTTCTCTCATTTTTTAGTTCTCCTCAGCATCAAATTCTTGCAAGTCTTTTACCAACTCATCAACAGAAATGCTCTCAACCCGAACATGACTAATCTCGGGTGCTGCCACTCCTTTTTCATTGTCTCCTGAAATTCCAAGTGCATCAGAAGTTGGTCCTACCTTTCTAAAGATTGCAGATTGACTTGAAACAATCCCGAGTGTGGGCATGAACATGAATTCTGATATTGAAGGTCGTTCTTGGTTGGTTGGCATGTTATTCCTCCTCTGAGGTACAAGTTTGTTCTATGCCAAGAAACAAAAATGAAGATACAATAAAAGTGAATCAACCAGCCTTCAATACAAATTAAGCAAATAAACTTAGCAATTTTTCTATAATCGGAATATAAAAATTAAACTGAATCTTCAATACATTACCTGCCTTTCACCCTTATCTGTAATGGGACTTGTCTTATCATTCTCGTACCGATCCTATCAAAAATGACAATGATAATAACATATTATGAACAATGTACAAGTAAATCTTAGCATGCTCCTGGGAAATGTTTAGTGACTTATCGCAACAGGTGCATCATCTCTTGCATGGTACCTCTTATTATGGTCAGTCAATCCACATGCACCACAAGTCATTTCTACCATATCTTTTCTTTTCATCTTTGATGTACCACCAATATGAGTAATTACATCTTTAGCTTGTCCTCTTCTTTTCGTTTGCTTTCTTCCCCTTTTAGGTATATACCAGCCAGGTGGTTTGATTGGGAGTGCATCAACCTTAGGCCATAGGTTCTTTCCATTTATTGGATTGACAATGCTCTCATAGTAGTTCAGATTATGTTTTCACTTTATAGCAGTCACGAACATATACATCCATTTGAGGGTTATTGTAACGGTCTTTAATGGCAGCCACTGCATGTACACATGGGATGCTTGATAGTTGCCATCTCCTACATACACAAGTATGATTAGGCAAATCAACAACATACTCCCTTGATGGACATACCACATATGACTGAGGGCCCCCAGACCATTCTACCTCACACTCATTTGCCATGTCAAAGATCTTGTTTAACCTCTTTTGAATTTTTGGACATAATGGTCCTTCTACCCTCCTCATTTGAATCATTTTCATGAAACTAATTTGGAATTCTATTAGCATAGTCAAAATCGATTTCTCTCTATCTTCTAAGAGAATCTTATTGAAACACTCGCACGAGTTGTTCAAGAGAATGTCACATTTGGATTTGGCAGAGAAATGAGACTTACTCCACTCTGATGGATCCTTTTTCATTATCCATCCATAGGCACGTTCACTGAACTTCTTTATTTCCTCCATTCAAAATTTGTAATCAGTAACTGTAGTGGATTTAGCTGTTCTCCATAAGTAGTCTTAAGAGTTTTATCCTTGAAGCCTTTCCTAAAGAAGTTCGTGTACATGTGTCGTACACAGTACCTATGTTCAGCTAGAGGATAATTAGCACTAATCACATTTTATAACCCTTTTTGCCTGTCGGTCATAAAAGTCCACTCATTGTTGTTATCGATTCGAAGATCTTCTCCCAAATGCCTAAGGAACCAACCCCAAGTAGCCATATTCTCCCTCTCCACAATAGCATATGCAATGGCGTATATACAATCATTGCCGTCTAAGCCAACTGCTGAAACCTATCAATGTCCTACAACCCCGTATAAAATCTTTCTTACATGATTCTAAGCATACATATATGCCTTGAAATTTTGAATCCTTAACAGCAATTATAACCGTAGACCCAGGATTTGCTCTTATGACTTCTGCAGCATATGATCATAGTAGCCCAAATTGATGCTCATTTGACCCTTCTATAAATAATCTAGCATATTTCCTAGTCCTACATACAATCATCCTATTAATCTTCAACTTCAAATTATCTTTGACTGTCTTTACAAAATTACTGGTGTTCCAATCGGGATCAACCTTTAATTTCTCCAAGTATTTCTCAGCAAGATACTTATATGTGCAGTGCCTATTTATGCCATTTTTACTACATGTATGTGTAGGAGTGATTGACTTTATTTGCACACATCTTTCCTTTTTGATCCATGAAGCCCATACCCTCCATTTGCATCTTGATTTACACACCGCTTGTACCCTTTTAGCGTCATTAATTTTGAATCTAATATTAGTCGTACTTATAACCCATAGTTTCTCACTGCTTTCTTGAACTCCTTAAGTTCGCAAACTTCTTGCCGACTTCCAGCTTAGGATCCATCAATTCCTTCTCTGAACAATATTCTGGAAATCTAAAATTGCCTTCTTCTTCAGAAGTATAATCAATATTAAGCTCCTCAGGTGATGGATAATACAATTCTTCTGGCTCTAAATCACCTTGGTCTTCTTCACCCAAAACATGGTTATATTCAACAGATACACGTTCTCGAACAGAGTTATCTGTTTCAAAATTGTCATCATCAATCTCATTATCAGAATTGTTGAGCTCACCATCTATATCAACAACTGTGTCATCCTCAATATTGAAGCGTGCACAAAGTATAGGTAGGGTTAGGATTTTCTTGTGTGCTGCCTAAATAAACAAAAATTAAGATCCCAAAATCTTAAAAAAAATAAATATTTACTAAAAGTTAGCAAATACAAAACACAGTATTGTGCATTTTTAATGGTTTTGATTCAAGTCCAAGAACAAAATAAAAAATAAAATAAAAAACACAAAATCCAACATTTTTTAACATCCCAAAAAAGAGTGTTTATTATATATAGTTTGATAGAAAACATTAAATTCAGATTTACAAATTGTGGTGCTTAACATGTACCTTCTTGTGGTCCTTGTGGTTGCAAAAATCTATTTTCATTCATGGTGTTGTCTTCAAACTCAAAAGTATATGGATCATCCATATTCAAGAAATTTATGGAAGTAGGGTTTCTTTGTTTTGTGAAAATGGGAGAAATTTTTTGTTGCAGGAGGAATGAAGATTTGGGATTAGAGTTAGGATTTGGAAGTGAAGATTTAATCCTCTCAAATGTTAATGAACGTGTTGTCAATGGTTTACGTGATGTTAGGAGGTGTTTGGAAGGGTGAGTTGTTGAAGTGGAGTGTATTAACGGTTAAATAATGCCACATCAGATTTTCATCCACCACGTGAACAGTTCCGTCCAAGGCTTCAAACGGATTTCATCTCAGCGATGGATGAGTTACGTTTATGATACTTGAGTGAGCATTGAGTTACATTTTAAAGTTCGATTAGTAAGTAGTTACACAAATTAAAGTTTAGTGACTATTCATTTATTTTACTCGACAAATATGTATGCAATGTAATGACGACGACCACCATTAATGATGATGGCAGCAATTAATAATGGCAGCAATAGTAAATCAAATTTACACAAATCAATTTTGAATTCGCATACCCATTTCAATTGTACGGGCAAATTTATATGTACACAAATTACGAGAAGCAAATAATGGCAGGATTATTTGTTGTATGAAACAAAAATCTCGTGTTACCAAATTAATTTTGACATACACAATAGATGATTACACGTCAAAAAAATTACTACCTTCATTAAATTTTGAAGAATTAACCTTTTGTGCTGATAACGTATTATGAAGAGAGAGAGAGAGAGAAAAAAAAGATAAAAATCAATAGATTTGTTTGTGTTTTATTAGGAATAAAAGACCTATATTTATACGAAAGAATTAAGGATACAACGATAATAATTTCCAAAACTGAAAGGGTACAATTGTCATTTATTAATAAACTTATCATTTATAACATTATGAATAAAAATTGAAGCTCCCTACGTACAATAATCATTCAATAATTAACATTTAATTTACAACATAAAATACTTTATTTTTATTTTTATTTTAAATAAAATCTCTTTTAAGAATTTTTAATCCAAAATTTTACTTTTTTGAAACTAAATTACAAGTGTGTAGCTAAACTAGGATTCTGTTTTTACTTTTTTATTGACCATGATAAATGGATCACATTACATCTATTCCTAATGGCCCAAGTGAGACAAAATTTAGGCTTACGGCCCGGAGTATTATGCCAATACCACAAAGGAAACCATGGATTTAAACGTGTTCTCAAATACATTGCAGAACTGAACCAACATATCAATCTCATAATATACATTTGTATAAGTGCATTTTTAAATGAGAGGGTGAACTGCCAAACAAATTGAAAAAGATTTGGAATATTTGAAATATTGAGCACCGGCCGAGCACGAGGGCATGGTTCAATAGACATCAGCAGCTGTATAATTTGTGGGAATTCTTTGGCGTTTCTCGACATATGCAGTTGGGAACCAACCTGCTCGGCCTTTGCATTCTCCTTCCGACCATCCGGACGGATTCACCTGAATAAGGCATAAATATATTATAAAATACTGTACAGCAAACCAGGGAATGTCATGACTAATACAAAAAAGCATTGTAAAACAATTGCCATCATGTATATGTAGCGAGACAAGTATTTAAGAAAGCCGTTAAATGGATGTGTTGCTGATAAATATAGCTATTTAGATGTTTAACTCAGACAAAAGACCAACCAATCTATAAGAATCTCGAGATTGGGACATTGAACGCTGAATGGAAGACATATTGTGCATTCAAGCGGATTCTAAAGTTGAGGTTATGACCATAGAACTAAATATGATAAGCGGAGGTATACACACTCATGCATATGGAAAAAATAAATAAAATAAAATTCAGCACGGGAAAAATATTTATCAACCTTACGAACAACGATATAATCTCCTACTGCCAAGCTCAGTTCCTTCTCTGATGCAGCATCAAAAGGATGCGTTGCCTGCAAATTGTATACACGTGTTATCAGTGAATCACGGGAAAGCAAGGATTTGCCCCCATCAAATACACTGTTAAGGCACCACAAGAAGACCTTCATGCACTAGATAACATGGTATGCTGAAATATTATGCTACCCTAATAACCAGTGTATGTGTCGTACAAAAACTGTTGTGAATAGGAAATAAAATTCAGACAAATTACAGCCATGTGTAATCTATTTGCTTTTTCTTTCAAGAACCAGCATTACCCTTGTATGGAGTTTTCGTGCTTTAAAAAACTATAAAATATGCAGAAGTGAAACTTGAACATACCTCAGCGAGAAAGTACTTCGTCTTCTCCGAAGAGTGATTGAGAGGAGTTACGGGTGGAGCAGCCTCCTTCCGTTGTTTGTCCGAGACAATCTACACAAAATTGCTGACTACCACATTAAACACCATAAAAACAGATCTTTTCTGAAAATATACAGATAACCACAGACCTCAGCTTCAATATTACCAAGAATGGTAGCTACTCTCTCATGATATATCCTTTCACCTTCAACCTATACAGAAAAAATAATTTAAACACATGGCATTCACGAGATCACAGGAAAAAAATATTGAGTATCAATATTAAGAGAACCTGCAATACATACCATAGCAACGAGTCTCTGAAATGTAAGCCTCTGCTGCTGTGATTCTACAGCAGCCAATGCAGCCGCTGCTTCTTTACCAAGTACTGCCATGTTGGCTTTCAGTTCGTGCATTCTAGATTCTGCTGCATGCAGCTTTGCTACATTTTCTGGTATAGGCGATTCCCTTACCCGTGCTTGTCTTCTAGAAATTTCTACTGCCTATGCATGTAGTTTGGTTAGTTAAATTATGGCGTTACATTATAATGACTACAGAATAGGAGATGATTTACATATGTTCAGGCCCAAAGCAAACTTTCTGATTCTCACTACTGATTACCTGTGCCTCTGCGTCTTGTCTCATTTTACTGTAACGTTGAGCAAGATGACGAGCATCTTCGAGAGGAGAACCACCCATCATTGCCCTCAGGGGTTCTAACACCTAAAATGGCATGTTTGGAAATTATCAAATTTAACTAGTCAAATAGAAAAAATTTCAAAAACCCAACGATGTCGACTGTTAAACCATTCCCAAAAAGGACATGCAGTGCTGCATCAAACAACAATCAATAGTATGTTCATACATCAAATATCATTACAGAGAGAAATATTATTAGAGTAAGTGTCGGACACTTGTTGTGTCGTGTCAGATACTTACACTAGTTTTAACTCAAAGTAATTATAATATAACTAATAGGTAGTCTTAATCGAAAGATTTCAACAAGAAAAAAATAATAATAATAAATGTAAAACTAAAGTTGTACTATACGAGTGAAAAATTTTACAAAATTTTATTAATGTGGCATCATAGAATATCAAAAAGATGCTTTAAATAATATGTGCACGCGTGTAGCAGCTGAAGTGGATCAAACAACACTTCAAGGAAATTATACATTCATAGATAACAATAGTAAAATAGTTACCCTTCCAGAGCGAGTAGACCGGTACAATTTCTCCAACTGTTGATGCGTTTGCATCTCAATCTCATCAATAACCATAACCTCCGAGCTTTCATAGCCGCTCGCACTGAATTGTTTGATTACAGCCTAGAATTCACACAGCCCACATCAAGAATAACTCAAAAAATCGAAAATTCATAAAAAATTATAGGTTATTGTATATTATAATTTACTCCATAATTCAAATCTATAAGTAAAAATGTAGAAGGTAGAAGGAATGGGAAACGGGACCTGTTGTTGTTTGGCGACTTGTTCTCTCAGTTTACTGGCTTGCTTCCTCAAAGCATCCATTGCTCTATGTCTTTTAACGGCAACAACGATTTTTCGATGTACAGGTATTGGAAAAACTTTGTTTCGATCTAGACCACGTTGTTTGTCAGATCTCAACAATTGCAGGGTTTACTCAGTTCAATGCCACAGCTCGCTGAAATTTCCTCCTATCCCCGACAAATATGCGACTTTGATAAATAACGGAAGCGCGAATTCTAGAAACGTGGATGTATGAAAATGCGACATTGGTCCAAATTGGAGAAAAAGGCAAAAACGAAAAGCGATTGTCCCGAAAACAAGAACTTAAAATGGTACATTGCTCGTCTCTTTTACAGGCTGGCTTTTACCTGGATAGCAGTGTCATATGTCTCGTTTTGACAATTTTATGAACGGTTTATAAATCCTATAATAAACTAAATAAAAATTCATTGTTCACACTTTCATCTAATGTAAAATGACGTCTTTCGTGTGGAAAATGTGCAAAACGATGTCATTTTGTATTGGGATAAATCGAGAAGTGATGAAACCCTACCTCATTTCCCGTCTCTCTTGGCCGAACATTCTCACGTTTCTTCTCTTTTGTGGTGGGAGAGTGATGAAAACCCTAAGTCATTTGACAAATGCAGGTTTATTGCGCTTATTCGGACCATTAAATTTAGATATTTGCGAGTTTTATTAGTGATTTATTACTTAATTTTCTTATTTTTATTTTGTAGGTGAAAACTCAAGATAAAACGATGAATTGAAGGAATTTATGCAGAAACGAGCTAAAAATGAAAGCAAACAAAGAAGAGGACCAAAGACGCCGCCAAAAGAAGATTAAAAAAAAAAATTCAGCAGCGCCCATCCCAAACAAAAAAACAGAAACTGTGGCGCCCAGGCTCCAATCGGGCCATTTTTAATTATTTTCAAAGTTCCAGGGACCAATGCTGCAATTTCCTTTAAATTTTAGGTTAAAACATTCAACCAAACACAAAATTTTTCATTCTTGAACTTGAGAGGCAGCTAGTTCTTCTTCTTCATCTTCTTCTTATTTTCTTTCTTTTTTTTCCTATTTCCTTTCACCTTTATTTTTCTAAGATATTTTGGGGAAGATTGGAACATGGAAATGGTGTATTAGCTTGGAGAAGATGACTCATTGATATTGAAGGATTTTCAATCATTTCTCTCTTTATTAATAAGTTTTCCTTTTCACTTTTTCCATCAATGTTTTGTAAGAAATTGTTAATTATTTGTGATTGATATTGAAGGATTTTCAACCATTTCTCTCTTTATCAATAAGTTTTTCTTTTCACTTTTTCCATCAAAGTTTTGTAAGAAATTGTTAGTTATTTGTGGATATTTCATGGGTAATTAATTATATTTTGTGATTGGGGATTATTTCAAACCCGAGTTATGATTTTTAATTAATTTGTGCTTTATAATTCTCTTGATTAATTTGTTTAATTCATTGTGTTAAATGTCTCTTTTGTTCTTCTTGATTGTTTAGGTGTACAATTAAATGGTTAAATTGTTTCGATAATGCTATTTTGGAATTAGTAGTACGTAATAGCTATTGATTCTAAAACTTAATAGCAATTACATTTCGATAGATTATGAAGAATTTTCAAAACAATTCTAAGAAAATGCACCAATATTTCCATGAGTAGAAATATAGAAACCATAGTTTAGAATCCAAGAATTTGCAAGTACAGACAATAAAAAAACACAGCAAGCAAAAGCTTCAATGAATTGGTCCATTGCCAATCAAATGAAAAATAAATTTCTTTGGCGACTTGGTCCATTGCCAGTCAAAAGGAATGTTGCTGCTTGCAAATCCTCTTAGTGCATTGCAAAAAGAAGTTGAATTTTGTTTTCACTTGCTTATGGTTGGGGGTTTGGCAAACGAAACAAAACCTCTCACAATTTCTTCTGTTTATAGATCTTGCTTCTCTCCTTTTTGAGTTATCCTCAGCATCAAATTCTTGCAAGTCTTTTACCAACTCATCAACAAAAATGCTCTCAACCCGGACATGACTAATCTCGAGTGCTGCCACTCCTTTTTCATTGTCTCTTGAAATTCTAGGTGCATCAGAAGCTGGTCCTGCCTTACTAAAGATTGCGAATTGACTTAAAACAATCTCGGGTGTGGGCATGAACATGAATTCAGATATTGAAGGTCGTTCTTGGTTGGTTGGTATGTTATTCCCCATTCTTTGAGGTAAAAGTTTGTTCTATGCCAAGAAACAAAAATGAAGATACAATAAAAATGAATCAACCAGCCTTCAATACAAATTAAGCAAATAAACTCAGCAATTTTTTTGTAATAGGAATATAAAAATTAAACTGAATCTTTAATACATTACCAGCCTTTCACCCTTATCTGTAATTAGACTTATCATATCATTCTCGTAGCAATCCTATAAAAAAAGACAATGATAATAACATATTATGAACAATGTACAAGTAAATCTTAACATACTCTTGGGAAACATTTAGTGACTTACCGCAACAGGTGCATCATCTCTTGCATGGTACCTCTTATTGTGGCCAATCAATCCACATACACTACAAGTCATTTCTACCCCATCTTTTCTTTTCATATTTGATGTACCACCAATATAAGAAATTACATCTTCTTTAGCTTGTCATCTTCTTTTCATTTGCTTTCTTCCTCTCTTAGGTATATACCAGCAAGGTGGTTTGATTGGGAGTGCATCAACCTTAGCCATAGGTTCTTTCCATTTATTGGATTGACAATGCTCTCATAGCAGTTCAGATATGTTTTCACTTTATAGTAGTCATGAACATATACATCCATTTGAGGGTTATTGTAACGGTCTATAATGGCAGCCACTGTATGTACACATGGGATGCCTGATAGTTGCCATCTCCTACATACACAAGTGTGATTAGGCAAATCAACAACATACTCCCTTGATGGACGTATCACATATGACTGAGGGCCCCCAAACCATTCTACCTCACACTAATTTGCAATGTCAATGATCTTGTTTAACTTCTTTTGAATTTTTGGACATAATGGTCCTTCTACCCTCCTCATCTTATCTCTCCTCATTTGAATCCTTTTCATGAATCTAATTTGGATATCTATTAGCATTGTCAAAATTGGATTCTCTCTATCTTCTAAGAGAATCTTATTGAAACACTCGCACAAGTTGTTCAAGGGAATGTACTTTTGGATTTGGTAGAGAAATGAGACTTACTCCACTTTGATGGATCCTTTTTCATTATCCATCCATAGGCACGTTCACTGAACTTCTTTATTTCCTCTATCCAAAATTTGTAATCAGCAACTGTAGTGGATTTAGCTGCTCTCCATAAGTAGTCTTTAAGAGTTTTATCCTTGAAGCCTTTCCTAAAGAAGTTCGTGTACATGTGTCGTACACAGTACCTATGTTCAGCTAGAGGATAGTTAGTACCAATCACACCCTTTTTGCCTATCGGTCATAAAAATCCATTCATTGCTGTTTTCAATTCGAAGATCTTCTGCCAAATGCCTAAGGAACCAACCCCAAGTAGCCATATTCTCCCTCTCCACAATAGCATATGCAATGGCGTATATATAATCATTGGCATCTAAGCCAACTGCTGAAAGCATCTGGCCCACAAAGCTTCATTTCAAGAAACAACCATCTAAACCTATCAATAGCCTACAATCCTGTAGAAAACCTTTCTTACATGCTTCTAAGCATACATATATGCCTTCAAATTTTGAATCCTTAACAGCAATTATAATCGTAGACCCAGGATTTGTTCTTATCACTTCTGCAGCATATGATCGTAGTAGCCCAAATTGATGTTCATCTGACCCTTCTATCAATAATCTAGCATATTTCCTAATCCTACATACAGTCATCCTATTAATCTTCAACTTCAAATCATCTTTGACTGTCTTTACCAAATTATTGGTTTTCCAGTCAGGATCAACCTTAAATCTCTCCAAGTATTTCTCAGCAAGATACTTATATGTGCAGTGCCTATTTTTGCCATCTTTACTGTATTTATGTGTATGAGTGATTGACTTTATTTGCACACATCTTTCCTTTTTGATCCATGAAGCCTATACCCTCCATTTGCATCTTGATTTACACACCGCTTGTACCCTTTTAGTGTCATTAATTTTGAATCTAATATTAGTCCTACTTATAACCCATAGTTTCTCACTGCTTTCTTGAACTCCTTAAGTTCGCAAACTTCTTGCCTACTTCCAGCTTAGGATCCATCAATTCCTTCTCCGAACAATATTCTGGAAATCTAAAATTGCCTTCTTCTTCAGAAGTATAATCAATATTAAGCTCCTCAGGTGATGGATAATACAATTCTTCTGGCTCTAAATCACCTTGGTCTTCTTCACCCAAAACATGGTTATATTCAACAGATACACGTTCTCGAACAGAGTTATCTGTTTCAAAATTGTCATCATCAATCTCATTATCAGAATTGTTGAGCTCACCATCTATATCAACAACTGTGTCGTCCTCAATATTGAAGCCTGCACAAAGTATAGGTAGGGTTAGGATTTTCTTGTGTGCTGCCTAAATAAACAAAAATTAAGATCCCAAAATCTTAAAAAAAAAATAAATATTTACTAAAAGTTAGCAAATACAAAACACAGTATTGTGCATTTTTAATGGTTTTGATTCAAGTCCAATAACAAAATAAAAAAAACACAAAATCCAACATTTTTTAACATCCCAAAAAAGAGTGTTTATTATATATAGTTTGATAGAAAACATTAAATTCAGATTTACAAATTGTGGGGCTTAACACATACCTTCTTGTGGTCCTTGTGGTTGCAAAAATCTATTTTCATTCATGGTGTTGTCTTCAAACTCAAAAGTATATGGATCACCCATATTCAAGAAATTTATGGAAGTAGGGTTTCTTTTTTTGTGAAAATGGAAGAAATTTTTTGTTGCAGGAGGAATGAAGATTTGGGATTAGAGTTAGGATTTGGAAGTGAAGATTTAATCCTCTCAAATGTTAATGAACGTGTTGTCAATGGTTTACGTGATGTTAGGAGGTGTTTGGAAGGGTGATTTGTTGAAGTGGAGTGTATTAACGGTTAAATAATGCCACATCAGATTTTCATCCACCACGTGAACAGTTCCGTCCAAGGCTTCAAACGGATTTCATCTCAGCGATGGATGAGTTACGTTTATGATACTTGAGTGAGCATTGAGTTACATTTTAAAGTTCGATTAGTAAGTAGTTACACAAATTAAAGTTTAGTGACTAATCATTTATTTTACTCGACAAATATGTATGCAATGTAATGACGACGACCACCATTAATGATGATGGCAGCAATAGTAAATCAAATTTACACAAATCAATTTTGAATTCGCATACCCATTTCAATTGTACGGGCAAATTTATATGTACACAAATTACGAGAAGCAAATAATGGCAGGATTATTTGTTGTATGAAACAAAAATCACGTGTTACCAAATTAATTTTGACATACACAATAGATGATTACACGTCAAAAAAATTACTACCTTCATTAAATTTTGAAGAATTAACCTTTTGTGCTGATAACGTATTATGAAGAGAGAGAGAGAGAGAAAAAAAAGATAAAAATCAATAGATTTGTTTGTGTTTTATTAGGAATAAAAGACCTATATTTATACGAAAGAATTAAGGATACAACGATAATAATTTCCAAGACTGAAAGGGTACAATTGTCATTTATTAATAAACTTATCATTTATAACATTATGAATAAAAATTGAAGCTCCCTACGTACAATAATCATTCAATAATTAACATTTAATTTACAACATAAAATACTTTATTTTTATTTTTATTTTAAATAAAATCTCTTTTAAGAATTTTTAATCCAAAATTTTACTTTTTTGAAACTAAATTACAAGTGTGTAGCTAAACTAGGATTCTGTTTTTACTTTTTTATTGACCATGATAAATGGATCACATTACATCTATTCCTAATGGCCCAAGTGAGACAAAATTTAGGCTTACGGCCCGGAGTATTATGCCAATACCACAAAGGAAACCATGGATTTAAACGTGTTCTCAAATACATTGCAGAACTGAACCAACATATCAATCTCATAATATACATTTGTATAAGTGCATTTTTAAATGAGAGGGTGAACTGCCAAACAAATTGAAAAAGATTTGGAATATTTGAAATATTGAGCACCGGCCGAGCACGAGGGCATGGTTCAATAGACATCAGCAGCTGTATAATTTGTGGGAATTCTTTGGCGTTTCTCGACATATGCAGTTGGGAACCAACCTGCTCGGCCTTTGCATTCTCCTTCCGACCATCCGGACGGATTCACCTGAATAAGGCATAAATATATTATAAAATACTGTACAGCAAACCAGGGAATGTCATGACTAATACAAAAAAGCATTGTAAAACAATTGCCATCATGTATATGTAGCGAGACAAGTATTTAAGAAAGCCGTTAAATGGATGTGTTGCTGATAAATATAGCTATTTAGATGTTTAACTCAGACAAAAGACCAACCAATCTATAAGAATCTCGAGATTGGGACATTGAACGCTGAATGGAAGACATATTGTGCATTCAAGCGGATTCTAAAGTTGAGGTTATGACCATAGAACTAAATATGATAAGCGGAGGTATACACACTCATGCATATGGAAAAAATAAATAAAATAAAATTCAGCACGGGAAAAATATTTATCAACCTTACGAACAACGATATAATCTCCTACTGCCAAGCTCAGTTCCTTCTCTGATGCAGCATCAAAAGGATGCGTTGCCTGCAAATTGTATACACGTGTTATCAGTGAATCACGGGAAAGCAAGGATTTGCCCCCATCAAATACACTGTTAAGGCACCACAAGAAGACCTTCATGCACTAGATAACATGGTATGCTGAAATATTATGCTACCCTAATAACCAGTGTATGTGTCGTACAAAAACTGTTGTGAATAGGAAATAAAATTCAGACAAATTACAGCCATGTGTAATCTATTTGCTTTTTCTTTCAAGAACCAGCATTACCCTTGTATGGAGTTTTCGTGCTTTAAAAAACTATAAAATATGCAGAAGTGAAACTTGAACATACCTCAGCGAGAAAGTACTTCGTCTTCTCCGAAGAGTGATTGAGAGGAGTTACGGGTGGAGCAGCCTCCTTCCGTTGTTTGTCCGAGACAATCTACACAAAATTGCTGACTACCACATTAAACACCATAAAAACAGATCTTTTCGGAAAATATACAGATAACCACAGACCTCAGCTTCAATATTACCAAGAATGGTAGCTACTCTCTCATGATATATCCTTTCACCTTCAACCTATACAGAAAAAATAATTTAAACACATGGCATTCACGAGATCACAGGAAAAAAATATTGAGTATCAATATTAAGAGAACCTGCAATACATACCATAGCAACGAGTCTCTGAAATGTAAGCCTCTGCTGCTGTGATTCTACAGCAGCCAATGCAGCCGCTGCTTCTTTACCAAGTACTGCCATGTTGGCTTTCAGTTCGTGCATTCTAGATTCTGCTGCATGCAGCTTTGCTACATTTTCTGGTATAGGCGATTCCCTTACCCGTGCTTGTCTTCTAGAAATTTCTACTGCCTATGCATGTAGTTTGGTTAGTTAAATTATGGCGTTACATTGAGTCTCTGAAATGTAAGCCTCTGCTGCTGTGATTCTACAGCAGCCAATGCAGCCGCTGCTTCTTTACCAAGTACTGCCATGTTGGCTTTCAGTTCGTGCATTCTAGATTCTGCTGCATGCAGCTTTGCTACATTTTCTGGTATAGGCGATTCCCTTACCCGTGCTTGTCTTCTAGAAATTTCTACTGCCTATGCATGTAGTTTGGTTAGTTAAATTATGGCGTTACATTATAATGACTACAGAATAGGAGATGATTTACATATGTTCAGGCCCAAAGCAAACTTTCTGATTCTCACTACTGATTACCTGTGCCTCTGCGTCTTGTCTCATTTTACTGTAACGTTGAGCAAGATGACGAGCATCTTCGAGAGGAGAACCACCCATCATTGCCCTCAGGGGTTCTAACACCTAAAATGGCATGTTTGGAAATTATCAAATTTAACTAGTCAAATAGAAAAAATTTCAAAAACCCAACGATGTCGACTGTTAAACCATTCCCAAAAAGGACATGCGGTGCTGCATCAAACAACAATCAATAGTATGTTCATACATCAAATATCATTACAGAGGGTTAATGATTAAAAGGGAAAAAATCTTTCAAGAATTGCATATCATGAGAATTAAAATACAAATGGACCATGACACAGCGTTCTCAGGAGCAAAACCAATTTATGGATGTAACCACATAAAATTGCCTGCGTGCAAATGAGATCATTTTCCACGATATCTACTGTGTAAATTTTAATCGCCATCCCATAATTAGTCTGCTTGAAGCTTTTTGCTCAATGTTTCTATACTTCAGTCTTGCAATGTTAGTATCCGCCCCAAACAACTGAGAATTTTTAAACCTAAACTAAACTATGTAAATTGACTAATTTCATTCAAGTATTACGAAATCGTGTACAGGCAAGCTCAACATAGATATTACTAAATTGTGTAACTCAAAAATATAAAATACAAAAATAAGTAAGTAATGGTAATCAGATGTACAAGCAACAATGTCACCTGTATACCAATCCACATTGCCTGAAATAAATTCCTCAATTAAAATATTCCTCAATCATGGTCTATGAACATGTTATAAAAGAACTATACAACCGACCTGGTTAAACAACTGTTTGTTCAGATCTTCTTGTTCCTTCTCCACATGTTTACGTGCCTCACCGTATATGGCCGCAGCTTTAGATAGAATCTGATCATGGGCATTTTCAACCCCATATTTGGAACAATCTTCTGATAACTTTGTTCCTGAATAGCATAACACTATTGAGCATTAACATAAATGTACATGATGAGCACTTTACAAAGATAATATCCTGCCAACAATTTAAAGGCTCATGTAAGTTAACATCAGAAATTATCTACACTCACCGGCTTCTATGTGTTTATACCCTACAGCACTGAATGCTTCAGCTGCTTTAACAAGATCTTTCTGAAAATCCTGCATAAGGAAATATGAAGCTCATAAGTACCTGAAATTATCTTTCGTCGATGATTATCACCAGGCTTGAAAGATTTATAACAAAATTAAGATTGTATTAACATATTAGAAAAGGAAGCTTGAACAAAAATCATTAACTTCAACAATCACTACATCACCCTTTAATATCTCAAACATTTATATACAAGACTGCATAACCTTAGAACAGAAATATTATTAGAGTAAGTGTCGGACACCTGTTGTGTCGTGTCAGATACTTACACTAGTTTTAACTCAAAGTAATTATAATATAACTAATAGGTAGTCTTAATCGAAAGATTTCAACAAGAAAAAAATAATAATAATAAATGTAAAACTAAAGTTGTACTATACGAGTGAAAAATTTTACAAAATTTTATTAATGTGGCATCATAGAATATCAAAAAGATGCTTTAAATAATATGTGCACGCGTGTAGCAGCTGAAGTGGATCAAACAACACTTCAAGGAAATTATACATTCATAGATAACAGTAGTAAAATAGTTACCCTTCCAGAGCGAGTAGACCGGTACAATTTCTCCAACTGTTGATGCGTTTGCATCTCAATCTCATCAATAACCATAACCTCCGAGCTTTCATAGCCGCTCGCACTGAATTGTTTGATTACAGCCTAGAATTCACACAGCCCACATCAAGAATAACTCAAAAAATCGAAAATTCATAAAAAATTATAGGTTATTGTATATTATAATTTACTCCATAATTCAAATCTATAAGTAAAAATGTAGAAGGTAGAAGGAATGGGAAACGGGACCTGTTGTTGTTTGGCGACTTGTTCTCTCAGTTTACTGGCTTGCTTCCTCAAAGCATCCATTGCTCTATGTCTTTTAACGGCAACAACGATTTTTCGATGTACAGGTATTGGAAAAACTTTGTTTCGATCTAGACCACGTTGTTTGTCAGATCTCAACAATTGCAGGGTTTACTCAGTTCAATGCCACAGCTCGCTGAAATTTCCTCCTATCCCCGACAAATATGCGACTTTGATAAATAACGGAAGCGCGAATTCTAGAAACGTGGATGTATGAAAAGGCGACATTGGTCCAAATTGGAGAAAAAGGCAAAAACGAAAAGCGATTGTCCCGAAAACAAGAACTTAAAATGGTACATTGCTCGTCTCTTTTACAGGCTGGCTTTTACCTGGATAGCAGTGTCATATGTCTCGTTTTGACAATTTTATGAACGGTTTATAAATCCTATAATAAACTAAATAAAAATTCATTGTTCACACTTTCATCTAATGTAAAATGACGTCTTTCGTGTGGAAAATGTGCAAAACGATGTCATTTTGTATTGGGATAAATCGAGAAGTGATGAAACCCTACCTCATTTCCCGTCTCTCTTGGCCGAACATTCTCACGTTTCTTCTCTTTTGTGGTGGGAGAGTGATGAAAACCCTAAGTCATTTGACAAATGCAGGTTTATTGCGCTTATTCGGACCATTAAACTTAGATATTTGCGAGTTTTATTAGTGATTTATTACTTAATTTTCTTATTTTTATTTTGTAGGTGAAAACTCAAGATAAAACGATGAATTGAAGGAATTTATGCAGAAACGAGCTAAAAATGAAAGCAAACAAAGAAGAGGACCAAAGACGCCGCCAAAAGAAGATTAAAAAAAAAAATTCAGCAGCGCCCATCCCAAACAAAAAAACAGAAACTGTGGCGCCCAGGCTCCAATCGGGCCATTTTTAATTATTTTCAAAGTTCCAGGGACCAATGCTGCAATTTCCTTTAAATTTTAGGTTAAAACATTCAACCAAACACAAAATTTTTCATTCTTGAACTTGAGAGGCAGCTAGTTCTTCTTCTTCATCTTCTTCTTATTTTCTTTCTTTTTTTTCCTATTTCCTTTCACCTTTATTTTTCTAAGATATTTTGGGGAAGATTGGAACATGGAAATGGTGTATTAGCTTGGAGAAGATGACTCATTGATATTGAAGGATTTTCAATCATTTCTCTCTTTATTAATAAGTTTTCCTTTTCACTTTTTCCATCAATGTTTTGTAAGAAATTGTTAATTATTTGTGGATATTTCATGGGTAATTAATTATATTTTGTGATTGGGGATTATTTCAAACCCGAGTTATGATTTTTAATTAATTTGTGCTTTATAATTCTCTTGATTAATTTGTTTAATTCATTGTGTTAAATGTCTCTTTTGTTCTTCTTGATTGTTTAGGTGTACAATTAAATGGTTAAATTGTTTCGATAATGCTATTTTGGAATTAGTAGTACGTAATAGCTATTGATTCTAAAACTTAATAGCAATTACATTTCGATAGATTATGAAGAATTTTCAATTGAATGTATGTGGATTAACACTTAAGTTTGTAAACCGAGCTTGCGAGTTTACCCTTAATTCAATTCATCTCTTTTGTCGTAATACGTTTGTTAAATTAAATTTAGAGAACTTGTTCTAGGTTGTTTAATGAATAGGGTTGAGTAAAGAGCTTGTTTTATTCAACTAGCATGTAAGAAGATATTGAGGTAATTGAACTTGTAATTATTCTCGAATTGTTTTTAATCTTGAAAACGAAAATATATTGTTGTAATTGATATGAAAATCATTCTCGTGGTGACGAAATATCCCCCAATCACATTTTCTCGCATTCAATCAAGAACCGCTTTGTTTATTTCAGATTTCAAGTTTTTTTTAGTTTAAATTTATCGCTTTCCTTAGTTCAACAAACCAAACTCCCCCATTTAATCTATTTCGTCTATTAATATTAATTTTACTTTTTAGTGCACAATTGACATAATTGAATCAATCCTCTGCGGGAAATAGCCCTTACTTGCCATATTACTATTCAAAACGACACATTTAAGTTAAGTAAGGAAAACTAATTGGAACGTGATATGCAACATATCAATTTTGGCGTCATGTCGCCGGAGATTGTTCTATCAAATTGTTAATTGCAATATTTTTCTTTTTGTTGTTTTTCTATTTATTTATTTATTTATTTATTTTCTTTGTCATTTAGGTTGTGAATGAGCAAAAGCCTATAACACACTACAACCTAAGATCAAGAAAAGAAGCCGACACATCGAAAAGTGGAGAAGACATTTCTCCAACTAGACATCTAAGGCAATTGAGCATTGAATCCTCAAGTGACTCCGAACACATAGAGCCCGAAATGGCGGATGCAAATCGGACCTTAAACGAACTTGTAGCTCCAACTTTTGTTCAACAACATCTATGCATTCAATATCCTCAAGTGGAGGTGAGATTTGAACTAAAGTCTGGGATGATTCATCTACTTCCCACATTTCATGGATTCGCCGGAGATGATCCAAACAAGCATTTGAAGGAGTTTCATGTGGTTTGCTCAAGCATGAAACCTACGGGTATATCGGAAGAGCAAGTGAAATTACAGGCATTCTCTTTTTCTCTTGCAGACATTGCTAAGGAATGGCTATATTATTTGTCGGCCGGTCTTGTTACCACGTGGAATGAAATGCAAAAACTCTTCTTAGAGAGGTATTTCCCAGCTTCAAAGGCTACAAACATCAGAAAAGAAATCTGTAGCATTTGGCAATATCAAGGGGAAAATCTCTATGAATATTGGGAGAGATTCAAAAGGCTATGTGCTAGTTGCCCAAACCACCAAATCAGTGAGCAATTACTTCTACAATACTTCTATGAATGATTGCTCTTGATGGAGAGAAGTATGATTAATGCTGCCAGTGGATGAGCTTTAATGGATAAAACACCGGCAGTTGCTAGGAATTTGATAGCCAACGTGGCCGCAAACTCACAACAATTTGGTAGTAGAGAAGTGACACCAGTTAAACAAGCAAGTGAGGTAGGGGCAACCTCTCAAATTGAATGACAATTAGTTAGTCTTACATTTGTGCAACAAATGGCACTTTGGACAATGCAACAAACAAAAGAGTGAAGGAATTGTTCTATTGTAGGACATCCTACCTATGCATGCCCGACACTACAAGAAAGAGCCTCAGAGCAAGCGAATGCCGTTGGGGGATTTTCAATGCAACAAGGACATAGATATGATCCATATGCTAACATTTTTAATCTTAGATTGAGAGATCATCCTAATCTTAGTTACGGAGGAAATCATTTCATAGCTCCACAATCACAGTTTAATCATTCCTGGGGTTCAATCAACAAAGGCAACCACAACACTTTCAACCTCGTCAACAAACTTCATCTCAAAGTTCAGAGATATCTCTTGAAGATATGGTGAAGTCCTTAGCTTCTAGTACAATGCACTTTCAACAAGAGACAAAAACCTCAATTAAGAATTTGGAGACACAAGTGAGTCAATTGGCCAACACGATGGGTAAATTGGAGGCTCAAGGATCAGGAAAAACTCCGTTCTCAAGCAATCAACTCGACAGAAAATGCCAATGCTGTGACACTAAGAAGCGGAAAAATTTTGGAAGAGGCACCAAGGAAAGTGAAAGATCAAGTTGAGGAGTCAACGCAAGAGAAGAACTTAGCATGTGAGAAAGATGAAGCTAAGACTCCAACCTCGGGATCTAAGGTAGATTCTAAAAGTCCTATTCCTATTTACGTTCTCTCCCCTCCATTTCCTGGCAGGTTTGCAAAGTCCAAAAGGGATTAACATGAGAAGGAAATTTTGGAGACTTTTCGCAAGGTTCAAGTGAACATACCACTTTTGGATGCCATTCATCAAGTGCCACGTTATGCAAAGTTTCTCAAGGAATTGTGCACAAACAAGCATAGATTGAAAGGTAATGAAGTGGTGAGCGTAGAAGAAAATGTCTCGGAGGTCTTGCAAAAGAAACTTCCACCAAAATGTAAGGATCCAGGAACGTTTACCATCCCTTACATTATTGGTAATACTAGGTTTGAAAAAGCAATGCTAGATTTAAGAGCATTTATTAATGTCATGCCATATTCTATTTATGCTTCTTTAAATTTGGGATCACTTAAGGAAATCGGTGTTATTATTCAATTTGTTGATAGATCTAATGCATTTTCAAAGGGTGTGTTAGAGGATGTTTTGGTGAAGGTAAATCAAGTGATTTTTCCAACAGATTTCTATGTTTTTGACATGCAAGATGAATCAACATCTTTGATGCCACCATTTCTCTTGGGAAGACCATTTATGAGGACTGCACGTACAAAGATAGATGTACATGACAGTACTTTGACAATGGAGTTTGATGGCGAGATTATTCACTTCAATATCTTTGAAACAATGAGGTATCCTAGTGATGTTTATGCTTGTTTTTCAATAGATATAATGGATTCATTTGTGCAAAAAAAATTCAATTTATCAAATGAAGATGCATTGGACACCACTTTGATTAAAAGAATTGATGTTGATAATCTTATCGGGTTGAGAAAGAATCTACAACCGTGTAAGGATATTGTTAAAACTGTGGCATCACTTGAGTCACTATCGAGTATTCCACCAAGGTATAATCTCTCCTATATTACTCTTCCGATATCTAAAGAGAAACTTTTACCTTCGGTGATGCAGGCCCCCACCTTGGAACTCAAACATTTTCCCCAGCATTTGAAGTATGTTTGGGAGAGGGGGAAACAATACCGGTGATCATAATAAAGAACCTCACAACACCTATTTTTGTTTTTGTGAACTTTTGTCGCCAATGGTCCCCAACCATCATCACAGCCATCACCGTCAACACCACTAGGGGAGTATTTGAACCTTTTGCGCTTCCTATTTCTTTTTGCTTTTACATTGAGGACAATGTACAATTTAAGTTTGGGATTGAGGAGGTGGTATGTGCTAAATTTTTTGTGGAATTTTGTGGTTTATGCTAATTTTGTTCTCACTAAAAACTTAAAAATTCGGGTTAAACACTTGTTTTTATGCTTATTTGTGTAGTTTGATAGTTTTGTCAATTGCATTTTGAGTATTGCATTGCATTGATTTATGAATTGGGAACATGAATGCTAAGTGTTGTTTATTTTCATCCACTTATTCCATGATTAACTCTTTATTGAGCACTTGGGTCATTAGATTCATCACATGCACTTGTTGGTTGCACTTGTAGGTTGTTAACGAACTTAAATGACCATGCTCTTAGAAATTCTTCAATTACTCAACCAATGAAAGGATAAGTTTGGGGGTGTTGAACCGGTGAAAGAAATTATTTAGAATTGTATTAATTTCCGACTCAATGATTGATTTTATGGAATGTTCTTAGACTTCAAATGAAAGTTAGATGTTGTTTTTCATCTATTGATATTATAAAAAACAAAAACAAAAAAAATCTGTAGAAAAAAGTTGTCTACCCTAAGGAGTGTGAGTCAGCATTGAGTAATCTGACCCTATGCATCACCAATGTGTAGGAGACGATCTACGAATGAAGAAGGCTACCCTTAGGGACTAGAGCGAGAGCTACCTACATTGGAAAAAGAAAGAAAAATAAAAGGGATGCTATAAGCATCTAGGGGTGATTTTGTTGAAGAATTGATGGATTGTGAGTAATTTGCCTAACATAAATTGTGGTCTAAGCACTCAAGATTTTTGGTGAATTAATACATGTCTAGATGATCTATTTTTTCGGTTCAAACCAACCAAATTTGAGAGGGAAAGATTGAGTGATTTGAGGGCAACCTTAAGTTTTTGATACCTTGGGTTAGAGTGAAAATATCAAGTTTGGAGGAGTGTGCATCTCACGAGTGAGAAAGAACAGTTTGACCATTGAGAGTTGGGAAAATCATCAACTTGTGCATTGTGATGAATTGGAATGACCACACACACACACGAGTCAAGCATGGTGTAAGTTTAAAAGTGTTTGCTGTAGCATTTTTGTAAACATTTCATAAGTTATTTGCACAATGTAAGAATTGTAGCAAAGTGGCAAAATATCGAACAATTAGAGTGTTTGTTATTATTATAGTATTATTGTTTGGTTTTAACTTGTGTGTTTGTATGCTTGTTTGTATTGCTTTGTTCAAGGACTAAGAAAAATTTAAGTTTGGGGTGTGATAAATGCGAGTTTATTGCGCTTATTCGGACCATTAAACTAAGATATTTGCGAATTTTATTAGTGATTTATTACATAATTTTCTTATTTTTATTTTGTAGGTGAAAACTCGAGATAAAAAGATGAATTGAAGGAATTTATGCGAGAAACGAGTTAAAGATGAAGACAAACAAAGGAGACGACCAAAGACGCCGTCGAAAGCAAAAATAAAAAATAAAAAAAATCAACGAGCTGGGCGCCCCGAACAAAAAAACAGAAATTGTAGCGCCCAGGCTCCACTCGGGTCGTTTTTAATTATTTTCAAAGTTCCAGGGACCAATGCTGCAATTTCCTTTAGGTTTTAGGTTAAAACATTCAACTAAACACAAGATTTTTTTATTCTTGAACTTGAGAGGTAGCTGGTTCTTCTTCTTCTTGTTTTCTTTCTTTTTTTTCCTATTTCCTTTCACATTTATTTTTCTAAGATATTTGGGGGAAGATTGAAATATGGAGATAGTGCATTAGCTTGGAGAAGATGACCCATTGATATTGAAGGATTTTCAACTATTTCTCTATTTATCAATAAGTTTTTCTTTTCATTTTTTCCATCAATGTTTTGTAAAAAATTGTTAGTTATTTGTGGATATTTCATGGGTAACTAATTATATTTTGTGATTGGGGATTATTTCAAACTCGAGTTATGATTTTCAATTAATTTGTGCTTTATAATTCTCTTGATTAATGTTTTTAATCCATTGTGTTAAATGTTTCTTTTATTCTTCTTGATTGTTTAGGTGTACAACTAAATGGTTAAATTGTTTCGATAATGCTATCTTGGAATTAGTAGTACATAATAGCTATTGATTCTAAAACCTAGTAGCAATTATATTTCGATAGATTATGAAAAATTTTCAATTGAATGTATGTGGATTAACACTTAAGTTTGAAAACCGAGCTTGTGAGTTTACCCTTAATTCAATTCATTTCTTTTGTCGTAATGCGTTTGTTAAATTAAATTTAGAGAGCTTGATCTAGGTTGTTTAATGAATATGGTTGAGTAAAGTGCTTGTTTTATTCGACTAACATGTAAGAAGAGTTGAGGTAATTGAGCTTCTAATTATTCTCGAATTGTTGTTAATCTTGAGTACGAAAATCTATTGTTGTAATTGACATGAAAATCATTCTCGTGGTGATGAAATATCCCCTAATCACATTTTCTCGCATTCAATCAAGAACCACTTTGTTTATTTCAGATTTCAAGTTTTTTTTAGTTTAAATTTATCGCTTTCCTTAGTTCAACAAACCAAACTCCCCCATTTAATCTATTTCGTCTATTATTATTAATTTTACTTTTTAGTGCGCAATTGACATAATTGAATCAATCTTTTGAGGGAAATGACCCTTACTTGTCATATCACTATTTTAAAACAATACATTTAAGTTAAATAAGGAAAATTAATTGGAACGTGATATGCAACGTATCATCATTTCTCTTCATTCTTTGGCTAATTATTTCCCATTCTTCTTTTGTTGCTTGAAATTCTAGCCGACATCTCATTCTCTTTCAAGCTACGATCTTTAGGTGAAGAGAAATGTTTGGGGTTCGAAAATTTGAATATTGGCAGCTAGTCATGATGGTCATCGAAAAATTATATGCTGCTCTTTAACTTCATTTCTTTTTAACTTGTATCTTTCTTTACTTTCATATATGAAACATAATTTTACATTCGCGTTCTCCACCTAATTCTAAATTTCATTATTGATTGATTTGTCACTCAATTTGTAGTATGTACCTGGATACTTCGCTCGATTATATCTACCAAAATTTGTCCACAATGTTCTAATTCATAATTCTTCGTATCACAATTGGTCCATACGTACAAATTTAAGAAGAAATGGTGATATACGATGTCTCATTGTAGGTTGGACAAACTATGCTAAAGAGAAACAAATTCAAATAGGTGACGCACGCATATTTGAACTTTTGAATAATGAACTGCCAATGTTCATGGTGTTCGAAGTGTGCCTTGCAGATGGAACTTTGATTCCTACATGAATTGTACAATTTTAGTTACACCTTTCATGTGTACTTAATATTAAAAGTGAATTTTCTTCTCCTACGTATGAACACTTCATAACTAAGTCTTAGGATTTAAATTCGAATTTGTTCATATTATTTTTCCTTTCAGTTTGCTCCATTGTGTGGTTCACTTTTATTCAAGTATATTATTTAGTTACTTATATTTATATCCCTTTTATATACACTAAGTTCATAGATTGAATTTAATCCAAGAGGTCATTAAATAAATTGGATTTTAGCACTTCCAATTAACATGTATAACAAAATCCTATGGGCCTGTTCGGTAGTGATTTTGAGAATTGATTTTTTGACCAATAAGAAGAAAAGCGAGGGCCACCTGTGAGTGAAGAAGTAAAAAATGATGCTGGAATAGTGAAATAATAGTCAAAAAATCAATTTTTTGAAATGAAAATCCACTCCCAAACGGAGCCTATATTTGGATTTCAACCAATGCTATGTCATCACCATTCGAAAACAGGGATCCTTCCAACTGGAACTATTTTGTGTAAGTATTTGAAAAACTTGCACTTTTGTGTATTTTGCATTTTCCTTCATATATGCTCTTAATGCTTTCTCAACAATTTCAACGGGTGGTTGTTAGTATATATGAAGAATTCTTTGTCCCAACTTGGATCTCTTATTCTTCTCTTGCCATTTGTACCTTTGGCTTCCTAAACTTTACTTTCATCCAACTAAGAAGGTTCGTCCTTCGTTTAATCCTTGCTCTATTGTGTACTTGTTCTTCTCTGCATATTTAAGGTATATTATTATTTTTGCACTTCCATTTAGTTCATCATGCTATAAGTAATTTCCTATTTAATTATGCAAAAATTAAACTAACTTTAGTAAAGCACGCTTCAATTAATTAAGCCTATAACCCTTGAATTATCGTCCGATGTGTTATTTTTTCCTTTTTTCTTCTTTTTTAAATTTTCTTTAATATTATTTTACATGTATAATTCGCTCTAAATTTGTTTCCCTTTAAATTTAGTTGTATTATATATGTTATCCTGTTAAAGCTATTTCATGTCAAGAAAAAATGATTATTCATCAAACATGAGTGTGGCACATACACTGCCTCTTTAAAATGCATCAATAAACAATAAAAAAGATTATACTAAATCATAAAATTTACGGTATGCATGAGTGCAATTTTAGAAGTATACCCATTATGAAACTACCATGTTTATTTTATTTACTTTCTTTAAATGATGCAACACAAATTGATCTTTTGAGAAATTTACGGATAAATTTTAGAGGGTGAGAAAGAGAGAAATTTCAACTAAAATATTTTCACTAATATTTTTATTTGTTCTTCACTTTATTCTGCAGGTACCACAAAACTTTAATATTCACGTTGATAATTGAGTCTCTTCCAAAGCAGTCATCACTAAATTTAGAAAGAAATATCCCTTAATCCCACCAATACCATAGTTTAAAAGGGTAATCAAATATCTTTATAGAAAAGCTCTCCTTTTTTTGTCACTAGAAGATGAAGAATATAGAGCACAAACTATAGAAAACTTTTCTATTAAGACA